TTTTTCCCCCCCCCCCCCCCCCCCCCCCCCCCCCCCCCCTAGCTCTTCTGGCTCTGAAGACAATGATTTTTCTCCCCAAAACTCCTCGCGGGGACGTTGGAAATCTGCGGAGTTTTACGTGGGCAGGGGATGCCACGCTAAAATTTTAGCTTCCTAGCTTCTGCAGTTCACGAGATAACAAATTCTGTACCAAAACTTTCAAGGGGCCCTACGTGGTACCCAGGGGTGCGTGAAGGCTGAATCTAAATTTGTGGGGGTCCCATGTTGACGGGGAACACCACTGTAAAATTTCAAGTTCCCAGCATTCGTGGTTCCCGGAATAATTTTCCCCGCCAAAAATTTCAGGGGGCCGTATGTGATACTTCGGCGCGCGGGAACGCTGCATCTGAATTTGCAAGGTCGTACATGCGCAGGAGGTCATTGCCGTAAAACCTTGGCTTCCTAGACTTCGTGGTTCCCGAGATAATAATTTACTCGCCAAAACTTTTTACGAGGCCGTACGTGTTACCCGCGGGCAGGGGAAGGCTGAATTTAAATATTCTGGGTCGCACGTGCGTAGGGGACATGCCCACAAAATCTCAGCCTTCTAGCTTCCGTGGTTCCTGTGCTAATAATTTTACTCGCCATAATTTCACTCGTATTTGTTACCCGCTGGTAGTGGAGAGCTGAGCTTAAATTTTCTGGGTACTACTGGGGCAGCGGAGATGCCCACTAAATATCAGCCTTCTAGCTTCCGTGATTTCGGTGATAATAATTTTACTCAGCACTTCTGCGGGACCATGTGTGTTACTCGCGAGAGAGGAAGGGCGAGGGGGGAAGGCTGAATTTAAACTTGCGGGATCACACTTCGATAGGGAACATTCTCCTAAATTTTCAGTTTTCTAGCTTTTGTGGTTCCCAAGTTGAAAGTTGCGAACAAGTTGCTGCTGAGACACACACGTAGACAGACCCATGACAATATGCGTTTTGTACTGCTGTTACACGCATAATGAAAAAAGAAAGAAAGTGTGCGACGGATGTGGATAAGATACTTTGTCCATGAAGCACTGATAAGGTGCTGGAAGAACTGCTTTGAATTAGGATGGATGAAACAGACGGTGCTGCAGGCCAGTGCTGAAGCTGGATGCGCTAGTGTTGAAGCAGCTCAATGAACGCGGCATCGCCGAGGGATTTCCACGCCTGATCGCAGCCGGTCGAACGACGCTTTACAAATATATTGTCATGGAACTGGTTGGCCCCGACCTGCAACGCCTGCGACGAGCTACGCCCACTAAAAAGTTAGATAATTGGCATCATCAGAAATCATATAGAGACTGTTAGTTATGTTCTAAAGTAAAAAGATAAAAATAAGCGAGCACTTTTTTTTTCAACTGCATATGCGTCCTATATGATTTCGTAAAATTTTTGCAATGAAATTTGGACTTAAGTTATGAATTCAGAAGACAAAAGACGCAGAGCAGCTTCAGGTTCAAAATCTTTATGTCCGGTCAGAGATTTTGCTCTCAAAATTTGCTTCCTAGCTTTTCACTTCCGGAGTTCAGATATGTGATTAGACCGGCATACGCACACGCACACACATACACATACAAATGCATATGCAAGAGAGAGACTTACAAATACAAAGTGACCCACCATAGTGAGATTTTTCACAAAAGTAATGCGAAAAGGCATAACAAAACGTCTGCCTCTCCCCTGTACCTCTGTATTTCTCTCATCCATCAATGGTTCACTGCAAGCAGTAAATACCAGAAACCCGATAAGAAGTATATTGCTGCAGGTTTAGCCTATCAAGCTCGTTGCGAATTGCATCGCAGACGCTGGACCGCATAGAAGCACTACACGACTGCGGATGGCTGTGCCGCGATGTAAAGGCCAACAATTTTTGCATCGGCAAAGAGAACACCGGAATGATTTACATGCTCGATTTTGGTTTCGCACGAAGATTCGTGTGAGCAACTGGAATAGCATGCTTGTCCACCTCGTTTCTGGATATTCCTTTTCGAAGCAGTGTTTTCGTTGGCTTCCAAATTAAAGGCAGCAGCCATTTCAGGCGCGAGAATGGTACACTGTTAGAACGACGCAAAGCTGCTGGCTTAATGGGCACAATTTATTATGCTTCACTGAATGCACATGACTTTTCGGAACAGTGTCGAAAAGACGATCTAGAATCGTGGTTTTATATGATCATCGAAATGATAGTCGGTACAGCACTCTTTTGTTTTTTCTAACTCATCCACTTCTCATTCTTTAATAATTGCTCTCTATTCTGTTCTCGCCTATTAAATAGCGGGTGGGAGAATGCACTGATGATTCCCTGTTTCACTCACGTCCAGACCTCTGTCTGTTTTTATAGCTAAAAGATGAAACACAGAGTACTACCTGACCTTGCCTTTTATTACTTGTCGAATTTTCACCTTGCTGACCTTATGTCGCGCGACTGCGAGTAGAAGTCCTTTCCTGATAGTTGCCGGTTGGAAGGCGGGAGAAGAAACGGGAGAAAAAGACGGCTGGAAAAATAATGTTAGCTATAAAGAGACAGCCATAGTTCCCCGCATAACTCACCCCCAACTAATCATTCTGGTGCCAAATCGGTGAGGCGCTGTTAATCCGACTTCAGTGATGGGATGCTCGACTAGAGAGACAGAACACTACCTTGAGAGGCAGAACTGCATTTTGACAACCGCATATGAATCTTCCCGTAAAGCGGGTCGGTTGCTTTAGCCCTTTCCCTTTTACTTTTTCTGGATCTAAGTTCTGCTTCAAAAGCAATTATGTGCTCTTCAAAGCGTATTTATTTCACTTTCAGTTTAACGGCTAATGTCAGTACCTCCTAACTCGAATTTTTGCATCCTCCTCACATATGTGACGCGTCTTGAAAATGAAAGAAAGAGATGCTCGACATAGATGGCCGCACAGATCTTATTTTGTTTGCAGGCAGCTTGCCGTGGCTTGTTTGTGATCCGAAAGACGAGTATCTGCTTGTCGGAGAGTGGAAGAAATTTATTCGTGGACCAGGGCGACAGATTCTACTTGCTGGAACGCCGGACGAATTTAACGAAATTCTGGATGTTATCGACCAAACAGCGTAATGCCCATACTCTTTGGAAGTTCGCTAACTCCTGCGGGTTCTTTTCTACGAATTTTTTTGAAGATATTTGGGTTGTTTTAGATTTATCGCTCGGCCAAGGTACCGTGTGATTCATGCAATGATTGAGCGCGCCATGGACCGCCTTCAGGTTGTTTGGTTTCGCTAACTTCTCAATACTGAGGTTTTAAGCATCAAAAAAAGGATGGCAAACAGCCTAGGGGTCCTCTTATCGCAGTTTTCCAATCTTCTAATTTTATTTTATTGTTTTTACGTTTAGGTTGATAGGAAGAAACCATTTGAATGGCAGGAAGATCCCACGGTACTGCAGAGGAGCACAACCATTGGCGAATTCAGTGAAACAAACCAAGACAACAAAGCGCTCCAAGTAAAAGAAATCAAAGAAGAAGCTGTTGCTTGTGAGACTTGAGAAGTCTATGCACAAATACGTACATTTTGAGCTATGTTTATCTCAATAAAAATGGTACATACTGTTAACATATCTTACATACATTTTGAGCCATGTTTATCCCAACCCAGGCTGGAACGCACCAGGCTTGCCGGTGCGATTAGACTAAACTCGCAGGTCGCTAATAGCGCAATGATCCCTGCTCTGCAGCCTTTCATTTGTTATGCGTTTTTTGCAGCAATGCAATGCGAAAAACGCATATTGACGAGAGGTTGTCTG